AGTATCTAATATATTCTGCAAGGGGCAGTACATTTCTTTATGCAGAATTTTTCTGCGTTTTAAAAAATATTGGCTAACTGTGTTAAGCAACCTGTAAGTCCAAACCGTGTTAGGTCTGAGACATGCACAGCAAGTCCAAGAAGGGTAAGACAAAACTGGGAACTCGATGTTGAGCACCCCAGAACAAATTTCAAAGAGCAATGAAATTTATTTTATTTCCACAATCCCCGGGCAAGGTTCCTCCCCATGGACTATCAGATCTTTAGGGACCTGCCTGAGTCACTGTTTTGTGAGATCTGTGGATGTTAGTCAGGCCAGTTGTCGAAAATGGATTTAGATGTTCAGCTTATACAGCACTGAAACTATTTGTGTGACAGGCCTAGAGGCAAGGAAATCAGTGATAACTCACAGAACAGAACCTACCCCACAGTCCTCACTCCCAGTGTATTCTTTTTCATTTAACATTATGATACACCAGGGAAACAGTAAAGGTTTTCCTACATTACAAGTTCCCCTATAACACATCTTTCAGAGCACAGAAAGGCAACACGGAAACTGTTCCTAAAATTGTATGAAAATCCACAAATGATTCAGCTGAAAAACCAGGAAGGACATTCAAGTTGCAGACAGGAGAGAGACCGGACTGCTCTGGCTGCTTTAGGACTGGCACAGGTTCATTAGCCCAGCTGAGCAATGAGTGGCAGTCACAGCAGACAGAATTCAGGCTCCTGTGCTGTGGCCCTGCCCCAGTGTGGCAGCTGGAAACGAGTCCTGGAAAGAGGAACCTTCCAGGGAGTGCAGATAACAAAGGTAACAAAGCTCCTCAGAGGAACATCTGCTCTCCCTGCAGTCAGTGTTCCTACCATGCCATCCACTCCTCAGTTAAACTACAGCCTCTCTCCTTGCAAAGCAGTGCTGTACAGATGTGGACAAAACTCCTTGGATAACCACAAATGATTCACAAGCTTCCTTCCAGCTTTTAAACAATCCTGGCAAGCACTTCCTACACCTTTTTCCCAGCCACCAAAGTGGTTCCCTTTCCCTCCCTGTGCCAAATCAATCAGCTCAATACTGACCTGGTGTGAACCCTGCAATGTGGAAAACAACAGAGAGTTTTAGCTGTAACAACCCCTACTTATATATCACCCATAATGCTGCATTTGACTGAGCCTGAATTGAAAATAAAGAAATTCATGAAAGGAAAGGAGCTGAATTAAATTTTCTGAAGTCCACAGCAAATCTCTGTTGTCTGTTGAATGTCATGTTTTTACTTAAGGTAGATGCTATGTATTTATGAAAATGAGATACAAGTCTATCTATCTATATGTGCATGGCTTCACATACAGGGGTGTGTGTGCATTTGCCTGTAAGAATTGCATAGGAAAGCTGATTAGAAAAATAAGACTCTCAACCCTGACCCATTTGTGCTTTTCAGGTTCATATGCTACATGACTATTTCGTCCTGATGTCAATGAAAACTGTATGGAAGCAATTATTCCATGATATAAAATAGAAATTTGTGACTTTTAGTAGAGAGGTTTCCTCTCTTTTGGATAAATATTATTCAAGCTAGCCATTAAAATCCGAAAACATAGAGAACCTGACAATACACTTTTTTGAAGAACTATTTCATATTGTTAAACATGTTTCCAGCTCTGTTTCTTCACAGCACTTATGTATATGCTTCCATATTAGCATGCATTCGAGTTTGTTACTGGACAGGGTTGAAAATCTACTTCTTTCAATTTTTTTTAAGACACTTCCTTCCTATTTTAATGTTAAAAACAAAAAAGAATTTTACACCACTTCTTTATGCCTTATACAAATGATTTCCAGAAGTTTTTGAATTTTCATCTTTGCTCTGCTGCACTCCAAAGCAGTTATCAGACCCCATTGTGAACACTTGGGAAAAACACAGCCTGGCTGACAAATTAGTAGTCTTTGGTGCTAATATTACTAATTCAGCATTCGAAAAGGCTGCTCACTGGGGAAAAATGACATGTTCTCTAAGTCACAGGAGAAACTAGGGAGATAGTTACTGGGTGTTGGCTGTGCTGCACAGATTGTGCACAAGGCTGTTCCCACTGCAGCTCCCTGACTGCCAGCAGACTGGCAGCAATTGTCAGCAAGATTTATTGTTACTTCACATTTACACAGTTAGAGAGGAAAGGCTGAAAGAGTTTTGTGAAGTTCAGTCCACAGCAACACACACTGATTACCACTAATGCACGTCTCTGAAATAATTTTGCATCTTTGGAGATCTTAAAAGTCATTTTCTTGAAAGAGCAAAATCCCCACAACCCTCAGTAAATTTTTTTTCTGGGATCAATACCTGAGCTCTGACTTCAGTTCTAGCTCACAAACCGATTTTCCAGTTTACAACTGGTCTTGGAAACCTCAAACTTTCTCAACAAAAGAATTAGAGCACACAAGGTAATTCAAAAGTAAGCATTAGAGAGAAGCAGATGTTTTTTACGTAAAATTCCTGGTTGTAAGGAGGGGTGGGGGAGTGGGGAGGGGGCAGCGTGTCATCTTTGCACACTTGAGAGTTGAGCTCACTAATACGAAAGACCACAACAAACTTGTTATATAAATGTATAAATTCCAGAGGCATGAATTTCAATGAATGCTTCCATTTCAGTTTCTGTTCCTATGGTTTATGCTTCTAAAGAATGTTTTTAACCTAGCTTCACTAAGGCAAAACGGTCTGATTTACATATATTTAATATACATATATATTGTAACTTTAAAGGATGGATTTACTTACCAAATACAAATTTAATCAGAAATCAAGATTCGGTACCTCAGATTTTTGTGCCTATCCAGACAGAGCAAAAGGTTTGTGTACTTTGAACTATGAAAGTATTTTGAAAGCTCTTAGGATTGTCTTTCCTGGATCTCTGGTGTGTTTATTTCTTTGGTTCAGAGGGGAATCAAGCGAGGTGAATTTGATTACATTTTTGCTGCAGAGGACCCCTCTAGGTCTGGCATCTTCTTAACTAATAGCTTGAGACTATGAAACATGAGACAGACTGACAGGAACCAGCCAACTGGGTTCCTTCAAACACAGATTTCTGCAGAGACACTCAGACATGGAAGGGAGAGGGTGGCTACAACTGGCAGACTCCCCCAGTGCTCCTGGCTGTTGCTGCAGTCTGGGAAAGCAAACAGCAAAGGTATTTAGGGCTACACAAACATGGGCCAGCCAAGCAGCTGAGAAAAGTCTCTGAGTTCATTTGTTTCTCTGCCAAAGAGGGTCCAGCTTATTGTAAACCAGGAAAATAAAAAATTATCTCTTGTCATCCAATTTCAGGTGGCATTTCCAGCACTGCTGGAGCTGTTCAGAGAATTATCTTGGTAGTGAAGGACATCTGGATAATATGCAGCACAAGAGTGTCAGGACACATAGAAAATAGGATGGGAAATATTTATGGCAATCCTGTGTTGGAGTTACTCTAAAGTGTCCTAACAAGTATTAGAAAAACTGTCATTTCAGATAAGCAACCAGCTTATCTAAACATTATTTACAGGGCAATCACATATTTTTGCAGGAAGGGAACTGAAATTGTAATGCCAATTTAAAAAATAAAAAATTCACTACCAAGAAGAAAATCAAAACAGTTTGAAACAGTCTTGTGATAATTAGGCAAACACTGCTACAAGATACAATATGGGAAAGAGTCTGTACAGATCCTTGTGAAAATAATGAATTGCAACTTTGGTGCTGAATGTTCCAGACAATTAGATTTGGCTTAAAGGTGAAAGCATTTTATATCTATGTCTCAATCTTTCTCTCTCTCACTTGCTCTCTCTCTCTCTGTTTTAGGACTTCCCCTGTTTTCCAAAATATCTACTATTTCACATTGCAGAGAAATGTACATGAGGATAGTGCATTTGAAATTCCACATTCTTTGCACAAATGTCATCTGTGTGTGGGAAATAAAACTGTTCTCCTTACATAGACTGTGAGTTCCACGTTTCCAGCCCTGACCACATGGGCACACCCCCCCAGGAACTGCCTCTGCCCCTCTGCCCACACTGCCTGGCTGTGGCCACTGAGCAACTCCACACCCACAGGCAAACCCAGGCCCTCACAGTCACCCAGCTCCCAGAATCAGCAGAAGTGTAAATAACGTGAGGTGCTGAGAAATCCCTGATGGCTGTTGTGCATCTGCCTGAGCCAGAATAAGAGCACTCAGAGCTGTGGGAGAATCAGAAGGTGTCACAAGGAGAGAGCAGAGTATTAACAAGGGTAATTTTTGAGAAAATGAGGCCAGAGGGCTGGGTAGGCGCTGCACTGCTTTCTGTCCAAAAGAGAGCCCTTCATTCTACAGCTCTGTTGTACATATGGAATAAATGAAAACTGCCTGCAGAAAGATATGGCAAGTGGAGAAGTTCAAACTTAGTGATTTTGGATGGCAAATTCCTTTCTTCTGCAGATTAAAACCCCCAATGTTTCACCAGGGTAGCCTGAACAGTCCTGCAGACTGACAGCAGGACTGAAGTTCTACCTTGTTTTGTCCTCATCCAGGTAAAAACACGAGATACTATTTCAGTCAAAGTTTTCTCTGCCAAAGTTAAAATCCTGACTTCTTTCAAGGCTCACATCACTTGTACCTCGACTGTATTTAAGTGTTCTTGTTCAAATGGGAAAAAAAAATTAATTTTGGAAGAAAACATCTAGGGAGTCAAACCCCATCTCCTTGAACATTACTGTGAGCTAATGGGTAGAAACATAAAAACAGTCTGAAAAACAAGTTAATTTGTTGGACCATTAGAGATAATTTATATGAGAAAAGATACAACTGGCCAATTTACAAAGAGGTCAGGTAAGGCAACAAATGATTTAGAAGAGAAAAATAACTAGGTGGTCACACAACAAAAATATTTAGGATGCCTGTTTTCAGAGATAGCATTCCAGGCCTCTCTCCTCGTGCCCACTTGATACCAGCAGTAACGGAAGAGCTATTTTAATTACAAGGAATCAGTGTAGCACATACCACTATTTGGCAGTTGGATGGCACCAGTGCTGAGCAATGCAAAAAGTTTCCAGAGATAACATCTTCATTAGCAGGACTAGGATGTCCTACACTGACTTGCTTGTAGGTCCACTAGGCTGAAACCCAAATATTACAGATTAAACCTTCAAACATCACGAACGATTTTTTTTGCATGTTTGCTCAAGAGAAAGAAAAAATATTGAGGTATTATAAAATAATGTGGTGATGATGCAGGCAGTCACCTGGCACCCTGTTTCCCTTTCTCCCCTGCCTGTCTGAGGCACTCATCTGTCTGACATCAGCCCCTCGCCCCCTGCTCACCTTCCCTTTCTGTATGTCAGTAAAAACCTGGTACAGATAAATTAAGGTATTTCAGAGTGTATCCCTGGGTTTCATCATCTCCTCAGTTCCCAGCCATAGGACAGATTACAATTTCACAGATGTGAGGAGAGGAGATATTACAGCAAAGCAGGGGTGCCACTCCAGATAAGGTTAAGATGGCACTTCCATTATAAACACCTATTTGCAGTGGCTTATGACTTCAGGCTACAGATTTCTCTCAGGCTGAAACTGGGCATATCTGGGCTCAGCGTGGTAATGGTTTTCCCTGTCTCTTCAAACCATTTTGATGAGGTGTTTGTGGTATGAGACAGCAAACAAATCCATGTCTCTGGTCATTTCAAAAGGCAACGAAATGCATTTCTTCCATGAAAAGCCTGCTGGACAGGATGTTCCTGTCGTGCTAACACTTGTTTTACTGTCCCTTATTTCCCCCAAAGATAATTTCTAAAGTGACAAAATGTACATCATTTTTTCCCCAAAGCATCCAGGACAGCTCAGGGATATGTTCCTGCCAGTCTGCCCCGAGGGACGTGCTGTGTCCCTGCCAGTGGCAGGAGCTGGCACTGCTCACCGGTGCCACCCAGTCCTGGTCAGTCCTTGCTGGGAGAAAAGCCTCCCTTGGCAAAACAAATTTTTTGGAACTTCAACATATTGACCCAAACTTCCATATTTTGGAAAGAGGGGAAAAAAAAGGTCACTGTATAGCACACAAATCTCAATATTTTAATGAGGCATTTTATTCTAATTGTCCAATTTATACTGAATTATATCTCATTATTAAAATCCTGCATTTTCATTCTGATCTTTAATGAAGGATGTAATGAAATCCCTAAATACAGTACTGTTTTGTCTTTTTTTTTTTTCTTCCCTGTGGCCTTTTCCACTCAAAGTTTAGAATTTTTGTCAAATATTAGAATTTTCGTCAAAGATTATAATTTTTCATCAATTCTCCAAAACAATAAAGTACAGAGACCTGTTTGCATGTCTCTCTCTCTCCCTGGCTCTGTTCACAGTAGTATCTATTTTACCAGCTATTTAAAGCAATAAATTACTGTAATAAACTCGTTGAATGAGATAAATTTTGTGTTACTTTTCCTTTGTATTTCTCATGTATCAAGATATGCCCTGAATTATTCTACCACAAGCGATGCATAACCCTTCTATGCTTTTAATGAGTGGAGAGGATGCTTTATCTATCCAAGCATATTTTTAAAGAGTCAGATTCACAGAGGGCAGAGGACATAAGGACAAAGAAACGGGAACAAGAAGGGGAGAGGAAAAAAAAGGCATACCCACATTTGGAGGGGGAATATAAAAATGATTGGATGTCAGTTATTCTTGATAGTTTTCAATTTTTTTTTCTAATTACCCTTTGTCAATTGAAATTTTTGCCAGCATACCTTGTGGACACCACAACTGTTTGGTATCTCTGGAACGTGTGTGGGATGGACATCCTGGAGGCACTGGGTTGCAGGAACCTGCTGTGAACACCCCTGGGCACAGACACGTGGTATTATGTTCAGTAAATGTCCCCAGAGACTGTGGGGCACCACACTGATGTTTATTTTAGGTGGGAGACCTCTGGATGTGGCAGATATAGAGGGCACTGTGAAGCAGGTGGGAGGAGATAACATGCTCTGGTCACTCCAACTTGAAACACGTGGCAGAACTGGACAGGGGCTAAAGGCAAAAGCAAGGAAAAATGGATCTGTTGCTGGTTTTGAAAAAAACAAGACAGAAAAGGGGACATGATAAAAATTATAGCAATAATGTCAGAGCAAACAAATGAGGAAATTTTCAGGTGGAACATACCCAACAAAAAGCCACCCACTGAAGCAGGAAGGCGCTGATTCAGGGTGTGTGTGCACTGCTCTGCCCTGTCCACAGGAACGGCTGCACTGCCCTGGGAACACCCCCACTGGCTTTAATTCCTGTGCCCGGGCACTGCCAGCCCCAGGCATGGCACAGAGCCCAGCAGGACCTGGTTTGCTCAGCTCTGGGCAGAGCAGACTGGCCGTGCTGAGCTCGGGGCTGCCTCGCTCACGCTGTCACCACGGTGTGAACTCGCTCGGGTTCCTCTGCACTGCACTGCAGGCACCTGAGTGACTGCTGGGCAAACCCACCCAGAGAGTGCAGACAGGCAGCTTTTACACAAATTGTACACCCATGGAACCTCTAAAAATATTATTACATTAATAACACAGTGCAGGAAGGCTCCTCCCAAAATATCAGACTCATAGGCAGTAGGAACACCTGTGATTACATTACAGAGAATGAAATAATTGCAAAGGCTGTAAGGAAGAGTTATTATTATGCTTCAGGGCACAAACCTCAATTTAAAGCTCCCTATAAAGTGCTGGTCCAGGTAAGATTTGCATGACAATCCTATATGGTATATTTTATATTCCTAATTGGATATCCTGATTAAAGGTACCTTTCCTGTTCTTGTTGTAGAAGAATATTTTCAGTATATAGAAGCCATCATTATCAACAGTGCTTAAAAGCCTGAGTCCAATCTGGTGAAAGGAATAACTTTCTAAGTCAGCACGTATATACCAGTAAAATAAAAAAATCCACCAAACAATGCAAACCTAAATGCCCAAACTCAGGAATGTTTAGCATTTAGTTTCAAATTCCACCTCAGAAAGGTGGGCACCTATCTCAAATGTAACTTTACTAGTGAATAGATTTATCTGTTATGGTTATGTCAGGTGACTGTATGGATACAAAAATATTCCTTGCAGACAGGGATGCTATTTCCTCTTTGCAAGAAGGATTGGTTGTGATTCAGCAAGACCGAAAAAATAATTTTGAGTTAGGTGTGGGCTGGTGATAATTGTTAGTGATTGAATGTCAGTGAGTGAGAGGGGGGAAGAAAACCCATATAAAGCCAGATGACAGGGGAAAGTGCTGGTTACACTGACACAGTATCACTCCATCAGACTTTATAAATGAAGGGCAAATTAAATTAAGTATGGTTATTTAACAACACTCAACCAAACATTTCTTTGCTGGATAGCAAATAAGGCTTGTATTTAACCAAAGATTAGTGCATTCCAATTCTAATACCAGTGCAGTTTGTTTTTATAGGACCATCTAAACAGCACTTTATGTTGACATTTCTATTGCGTATTTAATGAAGGCCTATCAAATATGCATGGCAAATAAATACTGTGTTCCACATAAACCTTCCCTGTATATTCCCTATCTTTTCTGCTTTGTAGTATATTTGTTCTAATAAAAACACATGTCCCTGCAATGTAACTAAATCTTATTTCATCTTCTTTCCAGACATCTTCTCTGCTAGCATTGCTTAGTTCCTGATATGGAGGGAGGGGACATTTCCAACACAGTGTTCAGTTGGTCCATTTAAACAGATATTGGGAATTATACTATGTCATGAATAAATCAACATATATGTCTATTGCAGATGTCTTCTGGAGACTTGCAAATAAGTCTAAGGATAAGAGAATCGTTGCAATTTTCATTTTAAATTCTGTAATTTGATCTATCAATTTCTTATTTGGGTGCTCTGCTTAGCTTGAACACAGAGCAGGCAACTCCTTTTTCTGTGCAAATATATGAACATAAAGACACTAATTACTACTTTGATTTTTTTTTTAATTTACAAAGGCTTTTCAAACAATATTGCAGAATTTTTTTTTTTAACGAAAATACAAACACTGTATTTGTTTGGTACCTTCAAGTTCAGAAGCAACAAAACCCAGATTCCTTAGCTCAATAAAGAATACTTACTTCTGCACACCTTCACGTTTTGTTATTTCATAAAGGAGCTTTAATGCTAGTCTGCCTAGTAATTCACTCTGGGATGTCTTTATACACCACTGACAGTAATACGGCTCATTTTGGGTGATTAACTTAACCCCCAGTACTGCAAGTGCCTTGCTACATTAGCATACCTTTCAAGGAATAGTTGCAATGTGAGAAAATTGCCTGTAGGATTATTTGCAACCAGGAACCTGTGAAATGTAAAATAAAATTGAAGACTATAAAGTAAAACATCAAAGATACCTAAAATATTAATAGTCACTACTCCAAAAAGTAATTTAGAAGAATTGCATGAGGGAGCGAAAATTACTAATTTAAAAACAAATAGCCTTGGCAAAATAAAGTCAGAAGTTTAGAATAAACAATAGATAATACAAATGCATTGTATACACAATATGAAAAGAATGCAAGCAGCACTAGCAACTCTGGGAGCTGAAGGTGGCTGGGACAGAAATGCCTGACCAAGCAAGGAACCAGATCTACACAAACAAAACAACAAAGCTGCATTATATTGAATTTCAGCTACTGGAGAGGAAGAAAACCAAATGCTCTTTAATCCATCTAGTTAGTTTTCTGTTACAGTTTAATTCTAATTGAATGCAGGCAGAATTTGTGGGCAGAAGGATTTTCTTTTTAATTGATGAATTTGGAGATGACAGCCATTGTCACGCAGCTCCAAATCATGTTTTCACCCACTCTCCATGGGGCAAACCATGCTGGAAGCTTCAGTCGGGTTTCTGTGGGAGATTCCAAGCTTCAAAGGCAGCATTGTGAAACCTGTTTCCCTTTTGATATGCACTTTTCCTTTTAATAAATTTCAGAGCAAAGAAATAAACTCAGATGAATCATAAAGGCACACAAAGTAGAAGAAAAAAGTCTTTAGTCTTGACCGAGGCCCTGGTTGTGCATGGCACATGGCAGGAGATATTTGAGAGACCTGCAGGAATGTCACAGCACATTCCAGGCTGCTCCAAGTTCCACAGAACACCTGCAAGTGAGAGCAACGGGCCTGCTCTGCCCTGCCCTGCTCCTGAGTGTGATTCCAGGGATAACCCACTGCAAGCCTGGCTTGTCTTCTTCTCATTCCTTCCTTCTTCCACAAAGGGAATCTCCCTAAAGAGCACTGCAGTTCGTTTTACTGATGAACTTGTGATCCCATCCAGCCGACAGGGTTTCTTTGGACAACCCCTCCCTGGAATCCCGCAGGGCAGCACGAAGGGTCTGAATCAGTGTGGGCTGGGGGATGAGACCCACCTGCAACAGCTGTTTTGACTGCAGTTACAGAAATCAGCATGAAACTACTGTGCTCCTGAACTGGACTTGAAGAACAAGCTTATTCTTCGCTGTAAAAAAAGCTTGGCTGAGCCAGACTTAATAGATCTTGCTTAACTGTTTCCCAAAATTCTTTCACAGCTGCCCGGTTTTACAGATAGTACAATGAACTATCTGAATAAAAGTGAGAACAACTGAGTGACCTTTACAGAGAAATCTGTAACAACTACACTGTCCAAACAGACATTGTAACAAAAGAACAGAAGAATAAAAATACCCTGATCATACTGTGGTTAAATGGGGACTAAATTACCACTAGCTGATGCATATTAATTTCACTACTAATTTCTAAAATCAATTACTTGATGTATCCTGTGTATGCCAGATTCCTTACTCAGTGACTGTGTACACCAGGATTTCCATACCAGAAGTCAGTGATGATTTTTATGAGCAATGTCTCATCTGCTATGAGATGGAAAGGAGCTGCTAAGCCAACACTTTTTTCTTTTTCCTTTTTTTTTTTTTTTTTTTTTTTTAAGATTTACACTTAGTACCAGAACTTCAGAGGGAGAATTATGCTTCTTTCAGCTGTGAAATACTGTGCCTTGGCAGGCTCCACTCTGTGGATCCATGATCCTGAAGCTGGGGGCCACAGATGCCAGGAGCAGGCACCTGGAGGGCTTCCAGCAGCTCAGTGTTTCAGAAATGCATCAGTGTAATGATCCTTTCACATTTCCTTTGGGAGTGGGACTTTTTGTGAGGCTGCCTGGGGCTGCAATGCTCTCACCTGAGCTGGGGGCTTGACTGCTCCAAGCACTTGGCACCCACACACCCACTAAACAGAGAGGGAAAGAAAAGTGCTCTGAAAATTTAGGTCATCAGCTTTGGAAACATATGCAACACTTATACATTACTTTTTCACCAGCTGGAGTAGCTGGCACAGAAAAGGCTTAAAACTTGGAAGGATTTTGTTTTATTTTCTGAGTACTTCCATTCTATTCAGGACCATGCAACTCTGTGACTGCAAGGAATATTTGTTACTGAAGTACATGACACTTCTATAAGCATTTGTAGTCACTTGACTTTTGTGTGTGTGTTGATAACAGTACTATTTATTACAGAAGCCTAAAGTGTCTCTTTGAAAAGAAATTACCAAATATAATATTTCTCTTTGTACAAAAATATCCCGTAAAAAGATTATTTTCATGAATAGCAACGCTTTGCTTCAATTTGTGTATCTGTTTGCCATTTCTAAAGACACTTTTAGATAGATCTTATTTCTATGAGGATTTGATAAGACAACTCTGAGGAAATAATAAACAGATTCTATTTATAATGGACGTACTAACTAGCACTCAGAAAAGGCTTTTATGTGTGAGGTCTTTTTCTTTGAATTGATCTTTAGCGGGATAAAACTATTATCATAGGATCCCATTCATTCCATAAGTATACAGAGACTTGATTTTGTCAGAACCCAGATAAAAGAAGAAAAATTCAGTGTTTCTTGGGACAGTAAGATGGCAGTACACTGACATTCCTATTAAAAAAAAAAGTTCCTGTTTCCATCATTACCAACCACTTTATCAAGGAAGGAGGACCTGACCTGCTTTTTTCATATCTCACATTGTCCCTAATAGGATTGTAGAATTTCTATACTGGGACATGGTGAAAAGTTCAGGGGTGATTTGCAGAGGTACAGGAAGCCCAAGTTCCACAAACAGTTAACATGACTGAATGAGCAAAGGGGTGATTTGCACACACAAATATTTAGATACTCACTGAGCAGAGGCTCCAGGAGTAAAAGGCAAGTTTCCAGTGCCCAGTTCATGATGTTCAGTAGAAAAGGACAGGACTTTTTACTGGGAAATGCAACGTGCCTGAAGAAATGAGCCAATATGACACCACACCTGGCCAGTTTGACTCCACTGGCCATCTCAAAATTAATGTTTGTTCATTTGAAGAGCGGATCTGTCTAACCTGGATCCTACAAAATTACGGACTCTGAAAGGTCAGTCTTACTTTCCCACTTCATGCAGAACTGTGTTTTGCAGAGACCAGTGTCACCAGTTCAGACCAACAATAAACTCCATCTGCTCCAAGCCCTGCAGCAGGACAGTTGAGGCACTGGGGCAGAGGAATCATCCTTTGCAGGGTCCTTTCCCACAGCAGGCAGCTGGGAGTGACTCTGAAAGCTTCAAACATGAAGTCTCCAGCACCAAAGGTTCCTGCTGGAACCTTCCTGCACCACAGACCTGTTTGTGTCTGACCTGGGACAGACTCAGGAAACGGTGCCAAAACAAATGGCCCAAATATTTTCAGAACAGCCATCTCTAAAATACTACAAAGGAATTGCAGTTCAGTGGTGTAAAGAGTAAAAAAAAAAAAAAAGCTTAACTTTAAAAGCTCTTTTTTTACCACCACAATTTGTTAAAGAAAATAAAAAGTATAAAACACTTCACCATTATTTTAATAGATACATCACGTTCCCCAGCATCAGAATTACAAAGGTATAATTTGTTGTATTTATAACCTCTACCCTCATATGCAGTGAAAATCTTACACATTCTCTTTAAAGAGATTTCACTCGGAATACTTACCTACCTTGCTATTTTGCTCTTATTTATTATTATTACATACTTTATTCTGTTCCTCCTATGAAAATAAATGGCAAAAGACTAACTCATTATACAGAATCTCATAAAACTCTCACATTTCTTGGGAAAAAATGGTTTATACTAAGATTGGTACTGACAAGCACTTTTTAATTGCTAGTAATGTATACACAGAGAATAGGGCAGATATCATCACTGATGCTGCTGCTGAGGCTGTAGTAATTTTCTCTGTATCAGAAGTCACTGCCATAATTTTGTTCTCTGGAGGATATGGCTTGATTAGGGCAGGCCCATTGTTTCATCTGAAATCTTAGCAGATTAATACTTTCATCAGGGCATCAATTTGTCCCACTTTTCTCTCTGCTGCTCTTTGTGAGTGACACAGCCAAAGGAATGCACCTCTTTAAACTGTCAGTCAGTTTAACTCCTCCTCTGCAATTATCCTCGCATGCATAATACATCATAACAAATTGGATTTTGCAAAGAAGCAACAACAGAAATTACATTTGCTTGTGGCATAAGATAGAAACTGTTCTAATAGGGAAGGGAGGGGGTGAGCAACGGATAAAGAAATCCAATGAATTAAAACCACTTACAGAAAACAGTTGCCTTCTATTTTCTCAAGGTTTCTTCTTCTTCTTCTTTAGCATAAAGACCAATTGCGAAAGGAAAATTAAAGAAAAAAGGAAATATTAAAACAAATTAAAAAGCTTTACAGTTATCAAAGGCTTTACTAAATTGTACAGTGGTTTTGGGGTTTTTAGCAGAAATGTTTTCTTCTGGCTTTAGAGGTTAAAAATAACTGCCTTACTTCAAGGAATCCTTTTTGTTTGAACAAAAATTATTAAAGAGACACCACCAGGTGAAAAATTCTACATCACAAAGGACAAATATCTTTACCAGATCTCCTGGTTGGAATAAGGAACCTGCATTTTCTTTTGATGTGCCTCCCTCACACCCCAAACTCTGCCATGCTGTTCCAGGTCTCCCCAAGTCCTGCAGATTCAGGGGCTGATTATCTTCCTCTGTGCATCCATCTGCACGTACTGGGGAAGCAGCCAACTAGAGCCAAAACCACTTCCCAGTGTGCAGGGGACTTCAAGACAGCAACCAGAGCAGTGATCTGCTCCAGATCCCTCAAAAAAAGCAAAATATGCGTTTGGCAGAACATCAGCAAAAACTCTTCTGGTTTATAAAAGAGTTGAGATGAAACAGAGGAACGTTTCCAGTGGAACACTGAAACCATTCTAATGTTTTAACTGTAAGATTTTTTGTCTTCAGGATATCCTTCAAAATTTAAACTGTGTTTTTCCAGGCAATTTTTATTACCTTCAATTAACTTCAATTCTGTGGCAGGAGCTCTACCTCATTTGAAAAATAAAGAAAGGGGGTGGGGGAGGGATCAGCTTTGCTGGGACTATATCTTTGTCTTTGGAAAAATGAAGTATGTTTGGTTCCATATTTAGAAAACAAAGTTTTGTGGGCAACATCTGAACATTTAATGCAGAAGTTCTCGATTCAAACTTCACTAACGGAGCAACATGCAGGTATGCAACAAAAATAAAATGAAAAGTCAGGAAATAAATAAGCAGAAACAACAGCAAAAGCACAGACCCCAGGAACAGCAAACAATGGCACTTTTATGGAATCCAAAGCATTTTTTCACCCAGACTTCACAGTGACAGATATTCCCTGAAATGTTCCACTCAGCTTGAGGACAGTAGCAGTGATACAGGTGGTGACTTTACATGCTGAGGCTGTATCTAGAAATAAGGGGTACTAGTGATAAAGTGACACGAGGTGTGAGTTTAGACAATGAACATTTCAAAATACTCACGTCAGGAATATGCAGCATATCTGTATAGATAAGGGGGTTATTATTATCTCCTCTACACCTGTATCCTATTAACTTTTATCTTAATGATGGATGATAACTCCAGGACCATGGAAGCACCTCACAACATGGAAGCATTACACTCCAAATTATGTGGAGAGCAGAAATTAGCAGCAAGCTGACAATTTCTAGACTGATCTTAAAATAACCAGGTACTTTCTTTCCTATAATTAAGCCAAGAACTTCCTCCTCAATTAGACTGGCAGAAATTCCTTCTCAATGCCACTGGCAGGTGGGTCTATAGTTATTTCCAATAGTGTTAGTGTTTGTCACAGAGACAGAAGTGAGTCAGAAGTGGGAGGCAGGAGAGCCTCATGTGAGCACGTTGGGCTGCCAGTTATTGAGGTTGTGTTGGCAGCTGCTCCCTGAGACACAGCCCAGCCAAAGCTGAGAAAAGCCCTGTCTTTGTAGCACACACTGTGTTCATCTACTCTTCTTATTAGGGTAAGACACTTGGTTGCTTACAAAATCATTATGATATTAGTGGCCACTTCAAGTGCCCTTCAGCTGCTCTTTTCCCACTGCAGAAACAAACCCCTGGGATTTCACTGGGGGTAAAAAAATATCTGTGGAGAATGATGAAAGAACAGACTCTAAACACATTTCTGTATTTAGTGTCTTCCTGTCACAACTCCTTGTTGCAGTAAAACTGCATTTGCTATCATAATCTTTGGCTTGCACATTTCTTTTAATACTAATTATATGACTGTATTGTTACTCAGATAATTGTGGGAGTTGTCAATTAAATTCTCATTTGTGTTCAAGCATGAGTCTGTTCACAGTACCTTATGCACATGCACACAAGTCTGCCTCTTGTAAACTGCAGTTTGCTTGATATATGCAGGTTTTACAGTTTATCAGATATTGTTATGCTGAAAACTTTCATTCTCTTCATTTTTTTCCCTACAGTACAGTTCTGCATAAGAAGGTACTCTATATTCATTTTTCAGACCATACTTTAAAGTTCATTTTTTAAACTTTAAAAATAATAATGAAAAACTCCCAATGGATTATGTCCAAAGATCATAATCAGGTCTGTATCTGGGTGAGACTGTTTTAATCATTTTTCCCTTCTATTGAAGTTAGCACATTTCATGGCACTAGTCCTTCTTAACAATAAGAAATTCATTTCTAAGAGTAGGACAAGCAGAATACTTCCATGTTAACAAGTAGTGCTGTCCATTACATAATAGGGAATTCCCACAGAAAAAAAAATATCCTGAGACTGATCTGGCTTTTTATGATTTTCATGCTAATCAGTGTGCAAAAAATACAGCATCACAGGTAATGATACCAGTTAAAACAATATTTGTTAGCTTTTTGACATTC